CAGCCCCGCTTCCTGTGTGCTGAAATCAATGCTGTACCTGGGCTCATTCTTTGCTCCCATTGCCTGAACACTGAACATCATTTTTGCACATGAAACTCTGCATGGAGCCTTGCAAGTGAAGTAGCTGATCCTAACCAAGATGTCCCAAGCTGGAGCAATTCTGCTCCTTCTTCAGGTTACTCATCTACTCAGCATTCAGTGCTGGTCTACCAGCCCCGTCAGCAGTAGGCTCTAGTCACCACATGCTGATCGACACTCAAATGGTTTCAACAGCCAGAGCGGGACAGGTGGAAACCAGGAACCCAGAACACACTCTGGGTCTCCTATGAGAGTGGCAGGGATTCAAGAACTTACATTACCACCTGCTCCATTCCAGGATATGCACTAGTAGGAAGTTGAAATTGGAAGTGGATCTAGGGTTGTGCTCAGGATCTCTGGTATGAGATGAGCTTCAGGGATGATTCTTTTAGTCAAAGATTGGCTTTTCAGTAGAAATATCTTGGATATTTATTAGGCATGGACTTTCTAGGTTTTCTCCACTGATAGATTTCAGGAGGAGGCATTTTTTCTGTGTCCTTTCTCTTAAAGTAACTGCATACCATGTCATTTCATTCATTCATAAAATAGCTCTCATTGATATTAAAAGTTCTTTTACACATTTCAGTGTGATGTTGTACTTTTTAAGTTGGTAGGGCATTGTCTAAGATACATGGTTTCATCAACTTTATGAAAAACAATTTCATGAGCCTGTTTACATTTACCTGTAAGATTCATCCTTTTTGAGTTAGAAATTAGAAGTTTTGGATTGCAGTTGCATTCATTTTTTAAATTATTATTATTCAATCTGATGAGAAACCAGAGAATCATTATTATTTACCACAGTAAGCTATGGAATCTTGGGTAAGTTATCCAACGTCTTGAGTTTTTTGTTGCCTCATTTTAAGAAATAAGACGGAGGAAATCGAGGCCAAGGAATACTTTCTTTTCTACGTGTGTGTGTGTGTGTGTGTGTGTGTGTGTGTGTGTGTGTGTGTCTGTGTGTGTGTGAGTGTTCAAAGAGTCAAAGGCCTTTGAAAATCATGGTGGAGAAGCCATGATTAAACATGTTTGTGTGTACAAGCGTGAGTTCTGGAAAGTGTGAAGACAGATTCAGAACTGACTGGAAGAATTTGGGGACAGAGTCTGAGAAGTTATGAACACACAAAGAACAGCACACCGCTAACCATGTGGGCTCCTGAGGTCAGATTATTTTCTGTAGGTAACAAGTTGAGGGACCTAGTCAATGGCAGCAGTCAGCTGGGCATTCTGAACATGATATGCAATTGGGAAAAGCTGAAGAATTGGAACAAGAAGTAAGGGAAATTCTCTGCCGAAACTGTGACGTAAAGAAGGCAAAGAAAGGCCTTCCAAGGAAAGGATGTATTCCACAAACAAAAGCAGCAGCTGCCCAGAAAGGCATTCATATAGAAGAGGGCCTGATGAATAAATCAGTTACAGGGCTTTTGATACACATCTTGGCAGAGTTTCAAGTCCAGGGTTTAACAAGTCTACAGGCTTAAGATCTGCAGAGAAATTGGATGTGTGTTGAAGGCCTGATCAAGAGGAAAAAGACAATCCCTGTGGGAAGACCTTAACGATGCTGGAAGGCCAAGGCTAAAATGTGTGATCATGTGCTTTAGGAAGGAAGGAGAAGATAAAGAAGGCATTGTGATAGGCTTTAAAAACAAGCCTTCATGATTCTATTTAAAACCAGAGGACAATTTGGTAGGTTGGTTTGGGTGTTATGATTGTGGAAGTAGAACCCACAGTGGAGGTCAGGATCCAAAGCTGTGGGAAAAGTATGAGATGACAGGGAGAGTAAGCAAGAATCAAAGACAGTCAGGAAGATGAGCAAGTCAAGCCTGCTTGTTAGCCTGTTGTTCCAAACAGGTTTGGGATAGGTGGTGTTGGAGGCTGACTTGTTTCAGAGTCAGTTTAGATGCCTGCAGATATCTGATGTTCCTGGAGTTCTGTCATCAGAAAGCAGGAGGTGGGGGACTCGAGGGTGTAGACTAGAATTCCTGGGGGCATGTCAAAAGCCCTGCTGCACCTTTGGTGATAGGAGCAGAGAACAAGGTCAGGGGGGCAGCAGCTCTGGGCTTGACCGGGGGACATGGGCTCCAAAATCTGAATCCTACTTACAGGTGAGGTTGACTGTACTGGTTGGAAGGCAAGTGAATTTAAGGGGCATGTGGCGTTTATAAGAAAGGAAACAGATAATCAGAACTGATCTTTTGGAAACAGTTACATGTGAATTGTGGAAAGGAGGAGTAGAGAGGATAAAGGGAGAGTAGGCAATGTGAAGTAAGTGTGATACTAAGGACATCATAGGTCCAATCATATTTGAATACTACTACAACTCAGGAAAAGTATATGTTACTACCTCTAGTTTACAGATGGGTGTTTTATTTGCTCTTTATATTGATCCTAAAAGCTGAACTTGATCAAATGCTTATTACATGTCAGTGCTTCGGAGTATCTCTCTTAATATTTTCAAAAACAGGAAATACATACTACTCTTCATCCATTTTCCAAATGAGAAAACTCAGGCATGAAGAAGTCAGTCACTCACCCAGAGATGCATGGATTGAAAATCGTGGGGGCCAAAACTCAAGTCCAAGACACTTTTCTCCAGAACCCAACATCTTAATCCTTGCAATAAATCATCTCTAAGGAACCAGTCAAAAAGAGTGAAAAAAGAGCAATGATAGACTTACAAGAGTTAGTGTAATGACAGTTTGATATTTAGTGTCAGTCCCTGTTCTAAGTGCCTTACATTGTTTATGTTAACTCATTGGATTTTCAAAACAATCTCTTTTTTTGAGATGTAGGATGGAACACATAGAAGCTGCTCAATAAATATGTGTTGAATGGATCTTATAAGATAATCATACAGGGGCCAGCATGGAGACCCACAGGCCAATCTTCTTGCAAAGTCAGCATTCCATATGGACATGGTGGTTCAAGTCCTGGCTGCTCCACTTTCAATGTGGCTTCTTGCTTATGGCCCGGGAAAGCAGTGGAAGATGGCCCATGTGGGAGAATGGAAAGAATCTCCTGGGAGTGAACCAGCAGATGGAAGATTTTCTCTCCTTCCCCCATCTTTCTCTCTTTAAATCTGCCTTTCAAGTAAAAATAAATCAGTCTTTTTTTAAAAAAACAAGATGACTATATAGTTATACTTTTAGAAAACTGTAGATCTTAGGACTCTAGTTCAAGAGTCTCTGCCCCTGTGACTCTCATTGCATTTAATTCTGTCTAAAGTGATCTTATTTACTTCTTTGCTTGCTTACTATTTTTCTCATTTTTGCGTATCAACTCTAAGAGAGCAGAAACACCACTCACAATGTTTAATGCTATATTTGCAGCATCCAGAATGACACTTGGGGCGTGGGATGTGATTCGTGAACATGTACTGTTTGAAAGAAAAGAATCCAGCACAACCATCACCTGTTAATCTTCAGTTTCACTTTCCCTGGGTTTCAGTTCCCTGTGCTTAATCACAGTCTGAAAATAGTAAATGGAAAGATACAGAAAGAATGTATAAGTTGTAAACAGCTCCATTATAGTGTATTGTTATAATTTTTCTGTTTTGGCCTGAGATTTTTTTCATCTTTTCCTGTACCTAATTTATAAACTTTATCATGTGTGCATATGTATCAGCCTACGTATGGGGTTTGGTACTATTCTCAAACTTTGGCCTTCACAGGGAGAGGCTCATGGAAAATATACCATTGGCAAAGAGGAGACTGCATTTCTATCTTTTGAGAAAACTCTCCCTCCATGGATTCCCAGAGATTTGCTGAGCTAAGCTACTGGCTGCTCACCTCACCTTATGTCCCTGCTCTCCAAGACCATCTGTGGAATTTCTCCACCACTGGTTCTACTCTCCATTGACTCAATTAGGCTTAATTTTGGAGCAAAATCATTAATACAAGGAAATCTCTCCACTTCAAATCCATTAGAATGGCTATCATGAAAAAAAAGAAGCAGGGAAAAAATGTCCTTGAGGAAGTGGAGAATTTGGAACCCCTGTGCATTATTGATGAGAATGTGAAATGATACGGCTGCTGTGAAAAACAATATGAGAGCTCCTCAAAATGGTAAGAATATAATTAATGTGTGATTCAGCAAGTCCAGTGTTGAGGAAGGAACTGAAAGTAGGAGCACACTCATGCTCATTTGTAATATTAGGCACAGCAGCCAAAAGGTGGAGGAAAGCCAACCGACTTCAGTAGATGCATAAGCAAAACAAAATGTGGCATATACATACAATGGAATATTACTCACCCTCAAAAAGAGGCAAATTCTAATAGATGCTACAACAGAAATAAACCTTAAAGATATGATGCTAAATAAAAGAAGCCAATCAAAGGTAAAATACTATACAATTCCATTTAAAAGGTACCTAGAACGGTGATATTCACAGAGAGAGAAAGTAGACAGGTAGTTCCCAAGGCTAGGCCGATGAAGGAAAGAGGAGCACACAGCTTTGCAAGATGAACAAATTCTGGAGGTGGTTGTACAACAATGTGGACAGACTTAATATTACTGAATACTTAGAAATAATTAGGATGCTAAGTACTGTTGTGTGCATTTGATAGTACTTTGTAAAAGTGTCTTTATAGAAAGACTTGGTGTCAGGACATACACCTTATTTTAAACCCTGAAGTGAACAATTATATTAAGTCTAATGAAAATGTAGAGTATATATAAAGGAAGAGGGATGTAAGGCGCCACAAATACTTGGTGTTAGGGATGGGAAATGACCTTAGAGTTTGGGATTCTTGATGGTTGGCGTTGCATCTGATACCTTCTTCAATGGCTTTGGGATGCTGTGGCTAGTAGGTGTCATGTAGCCATCTCTATAGAGATTTAAGGCCTCTGAGCCCTTATGAAGCTGAATCATTCAGAGTGGCTAGTGACTGACAAGGCTGTTGGGAAATGTCCATGACCCTTACCTGTCCATGCGAAGCTGGCAGACAATGCTCAGCGCATCCACAACACCTTCTTTTTTCAGCTGTTGACAGCCAATGGATGTAGCAATGAAACACCCTGTTCTACCAATCCCTGCACTGAAAAGAAAAGAAAAAGAATCAAAAGGCAGGGGGAACCAACAACAATCAAACTTTTAAAAAGAGTGGTTTTTCTTTATTTGAAACATAGTTTAGGCTAATAACAATACTAATAACTCGCACTTATGTATGGAATATTGCAAACCTGGCTCTGTGCTTAAAATACATTTTTCATTTAGTTGTAAGTACTAGGATGAGTGGGGTGGCAGGAGGTGGGGGAGTGGAAAGAGTAGTGAGCAGTAATTGCTCAAGAAAACAGGGCTTGAATTTAGGGAAGGTGTAGCTAGGGGGAGGGAGGAAAAAGATTTAGTTGCGTCATAAATAGGATTTTGGTAGACGGGAGTTGGAGAATAACAAAGTAAAAAGAAAAAGATGCTTAGTCATGGGGAGTGGGAAAACTGGCAGTTACTGAGGCAAGGAGAATTCTGGAAGAGGGAAGGACTTGAGGGAGGAGTTTGGGCTAGCTATGCTGATGCTGAGAGATATGGCAATAGGCACACATTTCTGGGTCATTCATGCAGAAATGATAATTGAGCAGACACACTGTCTGCTGGAAGGGTCCCAAGGCCCCTCTCCCACCTCCGGCAGTGTGCCTGAAATAAGCCTACGCATCACACACGCTGTCTTTCTCTCTATAATTTCAACTGTCAATGGTCTTTACATAAATCCTCTGAAATCCATCTCTAAACTCCCTCAGATTCTCCTAAACTCTAGATTGGCATTCCATCACCTTGCTGAAACTCTTGCTTGCCTATTTTGCACTTCCTTGATGCATCTAAATCCAATGTATTTCCAACAAAATTAGCTATCTTTTCCCTCAATGGCATTACCCGCCAGCCACAATTTTTTCAGCCTAGACATTTCAGAGCCATCTTCAGCATCTCCCCCTCTCTCACTTCCCACATCCAATCTGTGTCCAATTCTTCTGTTTTTCATCTCTGTTGAGTTTCTGGGATCCATGATTTCCTTTTTATGGCCTGTGTTCACATTTCAGCACCTCTTTCCTTTATGGTTAGCAATGGTATCATTATGATTTCCATATCTCAAGTCTTTGACTAATTCATTATCAAAACAGCAGCTAGACTCATCTTTCTGATGATTTAGTAATTTTATTCCCTACTCAAAAGTTGTAGATGTCGCCTATTAATTAAAATGTAAAAGCTACACTTTCTATCATGGCCTTACAAAGTTTGCATATGATTAACTTTCAAACTTTATGTCTTTTTGCAGTCTTCCTTGCATCTGATATGCCATTGTTCCCCAGTTTTGTTGCAAAAACAGCTTGTTGTTTTCCAATTTTCTCTGTGATTGATATTTTCTCATTCTGGATGTCTTCCCCATCATTTAAAAACTACAACAAACATTGATCACTTTTTGAGAATCCAGTTTAATATTATCCCAATTTTTAGAAGTTCTTCAGGGTAGGAATTAATTACTCCTCTCTTGGTGCTCAAATAACATTTATTTCTCACATTTGGCACTTGCTTTCTATTGAATACAAGAACAGAAATTTAAAGGAATGAATTCTTTTTAATTGAAGTGTCTAGAAAGAGTTTGTTTCACTAAAACAGGATAAGAATGGTAAGCATTTGGCTAGCATGAATAAGAGACTATTTTGAGTAATGAAATGGTAAGAGGAAAAGATTGATGTGAAAAGGAATATATGCTTTGTGACAAATAAATAAAGTCACATGGCCTAAAGAGAAGTACTTTAGTGGAATAGTGGGAAATAAGACTGAGAAGGTATCTTACATTCAAAAAAAATTTTTTTTTTATTTGTCTGGAAGGTAGAGTTAGAATTAGAGAGAGAGATCTTTATCTACTGGCTCAATCCCTAATTTGCTACAATGGCAGGTACTGGGCCAGGTCGAAGCCAGGAGCCTCAAACCTAGTATTTGTCTCCTATGTGGGTGGGAGAAACCCAAGTACTTGGGTCGTCTTCAGCTGCCTTCTCAGGCACAGTGGCAAGAAGCTGGGACTCAAACTGGAGCTGTTGTGGGATGTTGCATTGCAGACAGCATCTTTACCCATTGCACCACAATGCTGGCCATTTACGTTAGGTTTTTATATGGAAAGCTAAGAATTTTGGACTTGATATTCTATACTCTTTTTTTGTGTTAATTAAATAATTTTTTAAAAAAGAATTAGACGAAAATTAAGAATATTTGCTCTCCAGAAAAATCCACATCAGTTTAGGTACTCAAGTTTGTTTAAATGATTTCAAGACATTCACTGATTCCTGTAGTTATGTATAGACTCAAGGTCAAGAACTTTTGCTTTAGACAATGAGAAATCACTGGTAAGTTTGGAGGAGGGATTCCATAAAACAAAAGGAGGTTTGGGAACAATATGAGAGGGAAGTCTACAGCGCAGGCAGTGAGGGCATAGGGGAACAAGGCACATGTGTGCAATTAGTCAACGATTTCTAAAGGCCATGAATGAGGTCATAAGGACGTGAACTAGTGTGGTAGGACAGGAAGCAGCGATTATGGAGCAGCTTTGAAGGGAAAGCCAATCCGGTGACTGATTAGATATTGAGGCTAGAATTGAAAGAAAAGCCAAAGATAACTGTCAACATTGGATGCTAAATTACTGGAAAAATGATCACTTCATTCTTAGAAATAGTAATCAGAAGGGGAGTTACTTTTACAGGGGAAGTGGCTACATCAGTTTAGACATCCTGGGCATTTAATGATTTTGGGTGGGAACCAATTAGATTGTTTGCCCATGGGGTCCAGCTACGTATAGGATAAGGCCTAATGCTGAAAATTGGATAGTGACACCTTTGGGTAAATTTTACTCTTAAACCACAGACTTTAAAAAAAGAATCTAGAATTACAACACAAAGGCATAGTTTTATTATTGCATTATCAAAAAGCTGTTGTAAGGTTAAACCAAGCAACATAAATAAGGTTGATAAAATAGACTGAAATAGGAGAGTAGACTGGTCATATCAATAATGTTTAAAATACCTTTTAAAAAAGTATGTTTTCCCTTACACTAAAAGGAAAAGGAGGTGGAAAGATTATCAATTGCAGGACATCTACTGTCCGTATGAGCTTCACTCTGGTACCGTATGTTCTGGGAAGAGCACTCTGTTTTCCTTTTGGACTACCATTTGCCCACCTCCCACTACATAAACTTGTTTCCATCTGCTTTTTCATGAGTTAACTCCTAAAATACTTGACTACTTTTCACCCAACTTTACATAGTAGTAAATGTTATCAATACAATCTAAGTAGGTTTCGCATTGCAATTCTGACACAACAACTACAACCACAAAACAAAAAGAAAAATCAGTGGTAATTTCAAGACACACTCGTAATTCCTAGTGTATATGAGACTAACACTAAATGAAGGAAGGACACCCCACTTCTATGGGCTCTATGATTTTACAAAGACTGCACAGCTGCCCAGGCAGAAAGAACCGTTCATGCCTTACCTGCAGTGGACAACCACAGGCCCTCGGCCCTCAGAAGCAAGTCTGTCTTCTTCCACATCCAGCATGAGCTGGAGAAGGGGCTGGGCGTTGTCTGGCGTCTTGTGATCAGGCCAGGAGGTGTACCAGTAATGCTTCACATGTTGGGTGTGACTTCCTTGCTGAAAATAGTAACAGCCACTGAATACCTTAGTTGCTCGTGGACAGAAAAGTCATCCGAACCGTAATACTGAATGCATTCTCTCACTTCCATCTAGCTGGCAACTTATTTCAAGTTGCAAAACACCCAGAAGATGTGTGACAAATACCTTTTCCTTGAGAAAACTTTGCTGGAAACATCTTTATCTCAAAAGCTGGACAGTCTTGCCTTCATTAGGCTGCATTTATATCTATTTCTGTATCTAGAATGTAGGTATCACATACCAAATATGTTTATAATATGATATAATAAACGGGGTGTTGGGTGAAAATATAGCCAAAAAAGAATGGGATATGTAAGGGTACTTTAGAAAGCATGTGGAAAAAAAATGGATGAAAGATCAATTTATTTTGCATTTTCTGTGCACCTTAAAAAGATTTATTTATTTTCGTTTGAAAGGCAAATGAGGAGTTACAAGGAAGGGGAGACAAACAGATGGAGAGAGAGAGAGAGAATCTTCCATCCATTGATTTACTCCCAAATAGGTGTAACAGCCAGAACTGGGCAGGTCCAAAGCCAGGAGCCAGGAGCCTCTTCCAGGTCTCCAAGGACGTGAGCCCTCCACTGCAGCCATCCCAGAGAGCTGGATAAGAAGTGGAGCTGCTGGGACTCAAACTGGCACCCATAGATAGGATGCAGAGATTTAACCTGCTACATCACCATGCTGGCCCCTCCAAGGACTGTCTAATGACCTCTCCTATACATAGATTTAAAAAGGTCTTTTAAAAAAGATTTATTTATATTTGTTTTTATTGGAAAGGCAGATATACAGAAAGAAGGAGATACAGAGATTTTTTTTTTTGCACATTCACTCCCAGCTGGATGGAAGTAGAGCAGCTGCGACATAAACCAGTGCCCATATGGGATCCCGGCATATGCAAAGCAAGGACTCTAACCACTAGGCTATCTTGCTGAACACCAGATTTTTTAAAAAAAAATCTTCTGTAACACAATAAACTTACTTGCTAATTCCATTTTCCCACAAACTTTTGGAAGTACATTTGTATTATGTGATGGTCACTTACAGGGTTTTAAAAACAAACGGAACAACAGAAGGAAGGACACTTTGTTTAGTATCCCATCATACTAAGGCTTCTACCCTTTAGTGTTTAATCGCAGAGAGGAGTCTCAGCAGGAAAGAAGCAGCTACATGGATCTCTGGGTTGGAAGCACTTGAGCTAGAGCCCACGCACATCATCTTGGAACCAAGTTCCCCAGTGAGTGGCAGTCTGGCATAGGCCAGGCACTCAAGAGCACGTGTTGAGGAAACAAACTTTGCTAAGTACCTCCCTGTGCCACACTTCCAAATAGAAACCCTTCCTGTAGCTCTGCCTCCACTCTCTTCCTTTTTGGGATGCTTCTGTCCCAGCAGGGAGGCTGCAGATAAGGCTGAAATCTTTGGGAACAGTCTTCTTTAGAAGTGAAAATGCCATGGCAACCTTCCTTAGCACCTGCCGCCTGTGAGTTAGGTAGGATAATTTCCTATGACATCATCTGGTCTGGGGAAAGTCCCTATAAATGACTTTCACTCAGAGTATCCGAAGATCTCATTAACACTTCAGGCTTGTCTTGCCTTCCCCAGCCACCCACAAGTGTAGATCTTTCTCCCTCATCGTTTCCAGGCCTTACTTCAAGCTGCTTAGGCCAAAATGACACTAAAAGGAATCCTGATAAGTCTTTATCTATGTAAGTCCTTAGTGAAAGTCTTTCAAAAGGTGAACTCAGAGATGGTTTATTAATGCAATGAGGAGATTCTACATAATAAATTCCTTGAATACTATGTATACTAACTTGGTTATTTCACATTTTAATAGATGACAACAAAGACATGCATGAAGGGATGTTGTGGTTCTGCTTTGATCCTGATCTTATTTGCTTTGACTGAGTCTGTAGGATTTATGAATGTATACCGTTTCTAAGCAGGAATGGAATCCGCTAACATCATCTGCTGTGCAGGCAGCCTTGGCGACATTGTCTTACCTTTAGGACAAGGTTTCGAACAGTGTAGTTGTCGCATTCGTTTACATTGATAACCAAAACTTCCACTTTCCCATATATCCCCCTCTTTTCTGGCCAGTAAAGAACACATTTCTAGGGATAGGAGATAAGAACACACCAGATATTGATGTCAGTTATGAACTTCAGAGTATTTCTCATGCAAACGTCTCAAAAGAATTTTTTTTATGTCATTAATTGGGGGAAAAAGCTATTATAATTTTTACCAACTCTAAAAGTACACTAGAACCAGTAAATTGTACACTTTCAATATATAAATTTTACAGAATACAAATTACACCTCGGTAAAGCTGATTTTGAGGAAAGTTTTACATTTCTACAAATGCCTATAAAACACTGTTGCTGTTACCTCCATGTAATAGAACAAAACAAACAGAAAACCAAAGTAAAACTTTTCAGATCTCCTTAGACAAACTAACAGCTAACTTGAGAAATAAAGATTCAAATATTAGAGTTTGTTATTTGATGCTTATATAGAGGAGATGTTCGCTCATGATGATGGAGCCAAATTGCAATTTCCAACTTCACCAAACTCAGGGTCTAATAAGAGTTGTGCAAGGTGTTAGATGCCCTGGGACACGGAAAGCAGGCTCAATGGCCATTAACACAGCCATGATATTATATTTCCCAGGACCATTTTTTTGGGGGGGAAGCTGAAACAAAAATACACCAAAGGTGTATGTAAAGGGTTTTCACAATGAATCCTCTTTGAAAGGTTTAGCAAGAGTAAAAGCAACTATTCTACAGGCAGGGTATGATAATGTGTTGGCTGAGTGCGGAATCTGGACTCAGAGATCCCGGGTCCAAACGTTGATTCTCTCACTTAAGCTATGAGTCCATGAGCAGCTTCCCCATAATTTCACACATGGAATGTACTCAGGATAAACTGAGGCATTCAGGAAGCACTTGGAACATCTTATTGTTGCTGTTATATTGATATTATGTTTTTAAGTTACTGGAATTTGAATTCAAAAAGCTCTATTTTTATGCATATTATTCTCACTATTATTACATATAGGTGCCATTATTTTAAAAAACAGCAAAAAAATTTAAGCATAAATGTAAGTTCATGTTAATTAATTATTGTTTTACTCTTTAAACATTATAGAGAACTATATATATTTTAAGGGCACATTTTAATGATTAAGAATATAAAAAATGGAAGTTAATATCTCGAAGGCCAGGGAAGCAGTGTTAATTTTAGAAACCTGGTTTAAAAAGCACTTGTTTTCTCTCTCTCTGGTTCTCTCTCTCTCTCTCTCTCTCTCTCTCTCCTCTCTCTCTCTCACACACACACACACACACACACACTTACATATAGAAAATTCTTCATTTGTTGCTTTCCATTGGGATTTTTTAGTACCCAGGATATTATGTCAAATTCCTATAGAAACACTTCAAAGAATGAATACTTAAAGACTCAAAGCTCAGCAAAAAGATGACAGAACTAAAGGTAAAGTGTATTGGAAACTCACTTCTAGGTGTTGGCATGTCCAAATCTTAAACCAACTACTCCACCTGCAAGAGCCATGGAGTAAGTCCTTTCGCCTACCTGGATCACAGTTTCTTTTAAAATAAGACAGTCTTATTCCCTCCACATTTGGATCCATTCACAAAAGGAGTAAATAGTTCCAGCTTCAATTCTGTGCCACCCAGAACTGCCAGGCAATTACACTAATGTTTTACCCTGCCTAACTTAATATTAAAATGATAACCTTTTTAGTTTTTAAATCGCATAGAACAACTTCACTCCCTTTGAATCTAAAAGTTTTCAAAAATCTGAAAATTGTCCATTTTGTTCAAGGTAATGATACTAACCAATTTGCCTGGATTCTTTCACGGGAGTATCAAGTATTTTACTACAAAACTATGTACTGTGAACTACCATGTATCTTAAAATCCATACCTCCTTTCCGAGGAAGTGACACAGAAATTGTGAAAATGGAATTGGTCAAGGAAAGAGACATGCAGAGTTGGCATTGGTGCCCCATGGTTCATCCTCTGCCCCATGCAGCAGCATGGCCATGTGGGAAGACAGCTCTGGAAAGCTGACTCACTGCCTGTTCCCTGACACCTGACAGTAGGTGAGCAGGATTTTGCACCTGCTTGATCCATGGAAGCATCACTCCCTAGTCTCCCAAGCTTTCTGGCCCCTCTTGACTGTTTTTCTTGACTCTTTCCCAAAAAAACAATTGGCAGCCAGCTCCCAGCAGACAATGCAATGTGACTTGCTCATTCAAACAGCCTTTAATTAAGCACCCCATCTCCTTTCTGAAATACAATGGCTTATTTTTACACACTGAATACACTCCCTCCTCCACTCCCTTTTTTGAAAAAAAAAAATAGGGGAAAAAAAGATAGAAAAAGAGACCAGCTAAATGTGGGTGCTTTTGAATATGAATACAGGGGAACTCAAGTGTAGTAGCTTCTGAACAGGAGTTCACTGTTCACATTGCTTCCCTGAGCCACGTTTCAGGGTTTCTTTATTGTGGTGCTAACAATGATATGGAAGGGGCAGAAAATGCAAGGAAAGACAACACTGTGAAAACTGATAAAACTGTGAAATCACATGAACCGTAGGTAATTCAATATAGCATTCTGTCTAGCAGAATGCAACTCTGTATCATTACTCTTCTTCTGCTAATGTGGCTGATTTCTCATCATTATTATAAATTCCAAGAATCCATCGTTTAAGGGAAAAGTGAGGTTTTCAAAGATTTGTGTATCTCTTGTAGAAAAGAAGTATTTACCAAATCCTGACTGAAAAGGTGTGGGACATGAACTGATTCTTCAGCATCATTGCTCTATAGTGAAAGCAAAATGCAATGCAAAGCAAAGCCAGCTCCTAATTTTGTGATCTTTTTTTATTCCCCTTTTTATTCTTCCCTCTTAGTCATACCATATAAGAGCTAGAAGAATTTCTAGCTAGTAAACTGGGTTGCCTGGAAATAAAATATGCATTTTGAACTTAATTTTTAGATCCTAGACATTTAAAATCAAAGAGATTTTGCTCTAGGTGCAAACTCAAACCACTTTCAAGTAGAAAATGGCTCTACATGAACCAAAAGAAAGTGTTTCATTTGATTTGGGTTCTATTAACGTGTAAGGGAAGGATAGAATGAATTAGATTTTCATTATTCTGGTTAGTTTTATTTTTAGTATTGCCAACAAATGCCTAGTGATTTAGTGCTAAAAGTGCTATCAACCAACATAACATTGATATGGACTTAGGCAGACATCTAGTTCAGGGTCATGAGTTTGGAAGCCAAAATTCCCTGGCCTATGTGATCCTTTCTGTCTGCTGCGAGTCAAATGATGCTTGCCTATCACTGCCTGGGACCTGCGTGGGAGATGTTGCATAGCCACTCCCCTTTCAAGCCCCTAAAAGACCCATCCTGAGGAGGAGTTTTCTCTCTTGGTCTCTCGATGCCTTCCTCGTCCTCTTGCTTCCCAGGGATGGACTCTGACATTGGAAGGTAACAGTCCACTTCCTGTCCTACTCTGCTTGAACGTGTCCTGCATGGTTCTGTCTGCCTCACCTTCTGAATAAACCTTACTGCTTTCTTAAGCCTGTGTTTAAAATGATTTTTAAGGAAGAGATAAGAACCTGGGAAATAAATATTAGACCCAAACCTAAACCACGATATTACTATTGAATATCTTTCATAATCCTTTGAGGTAAGTTGAGTGGGTAGTAGGAAAAATTACTATTTAAAAATCATTTTCTAGCTGAGGAAACTGAACTCAATTGTTTTGATGTTGATGGGGGTTTGGGAGATTCTCTGGGGAGTTAGGATTCTCTGAGAAAATATCACTGTCTGAATTCTACGTTCCATGTTTGACTTTCCCACTGACCCTTAGCCAATCCAATTTAAGGATGGCTTTAACCCCGTGCCCTCCCTTCCATCCATGCAACCTGCAGAGGCTGCAGAAGCACTGTGTGTTTGGGGTCCTCTCGGACTCAGTGCTTTTGTTACCACCTGTTGAGTTATGCGTTTCATAAGCTGTGCCTATACCAAAACTTGTTGCGTAAGTTGGCCACTGAACTCAGTGGAAAAGCACGGTAATTTAGTTACTATGTAAGTCAATGAGAGGAGAGGGCATGTTGGGGCTCAGAAAACACCACCTTCAAAGACAGTGCTTTTGGCATGTTGTGTACTCAGAACCAGGGGATAGAGAAGCCTCAGAAGCAGCCTCAGATGCAAAGTCTGTCCTTGACCTCCCTCCCACCTCTCTGTTAGCCTCCCCAAAGCACAGGAAGAAGCCGTTTCTGAAGTTCCCGTATCTGACTGCGGGAAGTTCTTCCAGAAGGAATGCAATTGTGATAAGTCTCCTCCCTACAATCTCTTCAAACAGGGAGATTCATTCCCAGGAAAGAAGACTAGAACTGCCACCACACCCAAGATCCACAGGAACCTTGCCCAATGCCATTGTCTGGGCTCAGGGCCATTTATCTCTCCTAAATAGACTTTACTCTTTTTTTTTTTTTTAAAAAAATTGCCCATAGCCCATCTCCCTCTCTCTTGTTGAAAGGAATAAAGAAACTTCTAAAATTGGACCCAGGGTGATGGCTCAGTGGCTAAATCTTCACCTTGCAATGGCCAGGATCTCATATGGGCACTAGTTCATGCCCTTGCTGCTCTACTTCCCTTCCAGCTCCCTGCTTGTAGCCTGGGAAAGCAGTAGAGGATGGCTCAAAACCTTGAGACCCTGTACCCACGTGGGAGACCCACAGGAGACGCCTGGCTCTTGGCTTCGGATCAGTTCAACTCTGGCCATTACGGTCATGTGGGGGAGTAAACCAGTGGACAGATCTTTCTCTCTGTATCACCTTCTCTCTGTAAATCTGACTTTCCAGTATAAATAAATAAACACTAAAAAAAAAAAAATTAGCTTCTAAAATCGCACTGAGTTTTTGGGTACTCACTTTCCATTCTTATGATGCTTCTGTGCACATAATATATTTGTATGCCTTTTCCCTGTGCATCTGCCTATCATTGGCCTATGTGAGCTGCCTCAAGAATATAACTTTTTAGTGGGCAGACACAAAGTTTCCTTGCACTCATAGGCACTAGCAATACAGAATTTCTGGCAAGGCTATCAAATCCTTGGTCATATATGAAATGGGATTACACTGCCTGGGGTGGCTGTCTAGAGTGAGGGCAAGCTGTGTTTCCATTTACATGACGAGTGCCAAGTTCGAGACCAGGCAGTCTTGAACAGGTTTTACAGTGTCGTTAGTTTCTCTGCTTTCCATTATTTCTAAGTGACAATTATTTATTTATTGTCTTATTGTGTCTTTCCCTTTTAGTCCATAAACTGTTTGGGATGGTTGTTTGCTGGCTTTATCAGTACAGATAAAATTCAGGTGTCTACACTAATGCTTAATAGCAGATAATTGATAAAGGAGATATGTTATAAGGAGGAAATACACACTGAATGTCACTGAGGTTAGCTGGAAAATCCCAATACTGAAAATGATGTTACAATTAGGTGTCTGGAAAACACACAGGGAACATGGTCTTTTAGAATTTCACATCATTTGACCAGATAACTGCACATCTAGAAATAATCTTCATGCAGTAGAGATGTGAACAAAAATCAGAAAAAAATCTATTTATTTATTTATTTTGGTGGTTAGGCATAGACTTAAGCATATATTTATAAGAAAGTGATTTTTTAAACTAGTTTCGCCATGAAAGGAGAGGTGAGCCTTTGTTTTGGTCTTTGTATTGTTCAAATTGGAGTAGTTTCCTTGTTTTTATTGTATCTGTTGTAGCTTTTTAAACTTCTGATGCATATATCAGATATATCTGGTGATATCAATGTCAAACATATCAAGTTTTGCACCTTTAATTTGTGATCTGTTCCTTGTTTGTTCCTGGAGCCAGTCATAGTGACAAACACAACGATACAGATTTTGGCTTTCTTTGTTGTTGTACATTTCCATTCTGTCCTGACTCTCCAAGATGTAAATATATGTCATACCACAGGAGAGCTTTGATGTTTTACAGATCAAAATGATACTGACAAGTCTGGCTTAAAAGAAATGCACAGTCGACTTCACACTACCAGGAAAACACTGTTTATCAAAAATGTGCCAACTTTCAATTGTGTTAAGCGTCATTGTTTGGAATAGACAAAAATCATTTCCTCCCCAAAATATGTAGGTGGTGTTATCTTTAGAAGTTCCCAGGCTTTATGTTTTCTTGAATCTTTCTACTTTCTAATAAATAAAAAAGGATTCCTTGCCATCTTTCTTTTAAAGAATTCCAATACTCAAAAAAAAAAAATTCCAATTCTCTCGATTACTTTTTATAAAAATAAAATAAACAAAAAAGGAAAATACAGAACTGAAAAATCAATTTTTATATTACCATAAATGAAATAGAATTTTCTCAATCCCAAATTTGATCTTCATTTAGATAAATGTCAACAAGTTAATCTCCCTCAAAGGAAAGACACACTTAAAACACAAAGTTCAAGTTATTCTATTTGCTACGAATTATATAAATCATTCCATCAGTGGAGAGTGAGGCAGAGAGACAGAAAGAGAGAACAGAGACACACAGAGAGAGAAGAAAAGAGATAGAAAGAGCTCCTGTCTGCTGGTTCGGTCCCCAAATGCTCACAATTATCCAGTTGAGCAAGAGGAAAGACAGGAGCTAGGAAATCAATTCAGAACTCTCCCGTGGGTGTTAGGGACGCCCACAACTTGTCCTATCATGGCTGACTTCCAAGGTCCCATTACCAGAAAGCTGGAATTGGGAGTGGAGCTGACACTTGAATCCAGACAGTGGTGTGAGACATGGGTGTCTCAATCAGTGTAACCAATGGCCTAGCCCTACTAGAATCATGCCACTATTTGGTATGACAATAAATCTATTAGATATTGTTTTTGATTTTGTGAAAATAATGTCGTAACTCTTCTATGTTCCTTTTTCTGTTTTTTTTTTTCCTTTTTGGACTTATTTTACAAATTATATTCTCCCTTCTATTAGATATGATATTTTACATTCTTTCATTCTTTCAATGACTAGTCTTAAATTTTCTTATGCCTATTTCAAGTCTTACTTTACTGTTCTCTCTCTTTTTTATGATTAATAAAAAAATATTTTAACTTTATGTTCTCAGATCTTAAGTATCATCAGTTGTCAGTATTTAATTCTACCTTTATACACCTCACTATTTCTATTTCTAACGTTGGAGTTATTCTTTTCCTAATGTAAATCTCCATTCAATAATTCTCAAAAATTTTTTTAAAGATTCTGTTGTTATTAAAATTCTTTCAATTTTTATTTGTTTGAAATGTCTGAAATGTCTGATCCACTACTTATTACTTACTAAGTTATTTCTAACCTTGCAATTCTATCTAGTGAGATCTTTCTCCCACTTTAATGTCTGTTTTTGGGTAGATTTTAGACTAAAATTCTTTCCTGTCCTTTTGACAATAACATTCCTCTGTCAAATTTTTCTATGTTTTCTGTGCCTATGTAAAAAGTGTCTATAATTTTTCTTGCTTTAATTTTTGCAGATCTACAATGTTTGCATATAGAAAAATTTGACCTTTGTTTCCAAAATGAATCACAAGGTAATACCAACATGATATTCTTAGGTTGATTATTCCATCTGGGATTATTCTAAGTTTTGTATTCTGAAATTTCTTGGCTATGAATATGCAATATTATATATTTTTTAACCCATGTAAAAGTTAGATTGTTGTCTTGGTACAGTCTTATTTTACTGGTAAGATGTATTCATTTATTTATATTTATTATTTGAAAAGCAGAAACATGTGAAGATAGGAGATACATAGAGAGAAACTCCATCTCCCAGTTCACTGCCCAAATGCTTGGTAGGAACCCAGCTACATGAGGCATTGGCACTGCCAGTAGGCATAACGGGAAGGTAGAAACAGGAGTCAAAGCCAGCCCATCGAGTGAAGCAGGCATCCAGATGTCCCGCTTAACTGCTGGGTCAAATGCCTGCCCGACAGGCTTATTTTTATGATCCACCTTTTTAAGGAAGATGTGGATCTTGCAGGTGCATTTTATGTAAAGTCTCATAACCCCTGATTCCTGTGAGCCCTGGTATGTCTCTCGTGCTTGTTTGGGCATTACAACACAAGTAGCATGTTGTTGTTTGAATTTATGCATTGTATTCGATTTTCACATATCTTTCACTTTCTCACCAAGTTCTGCTTTGTATGATGTTTTGTATTTTATCCAGTGCAATTGGCTTTGTTGTGGGAATTTTTCTAAGCTATTACATGAGTTTTACACACCCATGTGTGTATACAAACACATCTTTTAAACTTGAAGAGTCTTTCTAACTCTAAAGGTAAACGTCACATCATAAACAGCCATGCACGAATTCTCAGAAGCGTGCTGTGCTGACAGCCTGGTGCTGGGTGCGAAAGAACTGAGGCATATGAACAGTCAATTTTGTTATGCCACCTCAGGTTTCCATATCAGGTTCATAGAAATGTGCTTATTAGTAATCTGCACAGTGAATTAGAAAACACGACTTCACACTTCGTGGTCACAAACATACTTGCTTTAAGGAGTAAACTTCAGAAAAAAATTTCATGTGTTGCAGCAGAAATGGGGTTAAAAAAAAAAGCACCAGATTTAAGAAACTTACATTCTCCGTTCTCTCAGTTAAGTCCAAGATTATACCACACTCGGTGCTTATCCCTCACGAAAGGGCATGGGGAGGGCTCAGTGCCTCTGAACTCTTTGGTAAAATCTTCAGAAAGAAATTTTGATAAGAAAACAAACACAAAGGCTGATATCTGGCCATAAATTATCCCAACAAGATGCCCTAAAATATAACAGGAAGATAGGATAGGAGCCTTCAGAAATCACACACTTAATTATTATGATGCAAAATGGAGAATTAGTGTTGTGAAAGCTAAATCCTTAGCACAGATAACCAGTATAGAAATAAAATTTGATTTTGGCTGTTTATTGAACTTTTTATTTTGAAGCTATTGAAATAGTTGCTCAGTTGCTATAACTTCCTCCGTTTTGTTTTTCTCCAAAATCTCACTTTGTTTAAACAAGGCTCATCTTGCCTGTGTGTTTTAATGCCATAATGCCTCTTTCTTGTTCATCCTCTCTCTCATAGTCAATGCTTTTATTCGATTCTTTTCCTCTCTGTAATATGTATACCTTCTAACAGGCTGCTCTATTTATGAATTTATTATGTGTACTATTTTTATATATCTTCTCTCACCAAGAAAACAATAATGTGCCCAGGGCAGGGATTTTGGTGTTTTATTTGCTAACATATTTACTTCCAAAGATCAGAATAGTGTCTATGATGTAGCAGATGCTCAGAAATTCCTTGAGACATGATGGATAATTTTAATTTCTCTGAGTGTAAATTAGGCTGACATTTCATGGGCCTTACTTCTTTACTGAGGTATGTGAGATACAAGTGAGCTATGTATCTACCAGGTACGTTGACTTGCCTGAAAGAGAATTGTCAATCATTGAATGATACCAGTTTTTCTTATAGAAGTATAAAATGACCTAGCCTTCAAATGTCTCAAAGATCCCATTTAAAACAAATCCGTTCTAAGAGCATGGTGATTTTTCTTACACAGCGTCTCTTCTATGGTAATAGCAGATCGTTGATATTCAGAGCTTGGCTGAAGAGCATACCTCATTTTTTTCTTTAAGTTTGGTGATCATAACAATCACTGGGCTGTCTTCCTGCCAAACCATCTGCCAGAAGTCATTCACGGTGTTGATCATTGGGCCCTGGGTGGCAATGAACGCTTTCTCTTGGCCGCTATAGCCCTGGTTGAAACAAAAAGACAACAAGATTGGCTTTTCAGGAAGTCAAAGCAGCTTCCTGGAGGAGGGGTTACCACTCACTCCTCACCAGAGCGTCCATGCAGGGCCCTGGATGGGCTCACCTTTTGGGTGGGCTCTCTGCTAGCATCAATACGACAGTGACAACAACAGATTTTCCAGTCACTAAGTTCAATTGAACTTAACATACTCTAACATGAAAACAAAAACAAAAAACACAGCAATTCCAAATAGTAAGTTGACTTGCTCACCAGAAAGACATTCATATTTATTTACTTACCCTAATATAATTAGCATTAATGTAGGTGCTCAGTGAGTCCGTTACATTTTTTGGTCTTAAACATACTCTGCTGAGAGGATCTAATAAAGAAGAAAAAAATACATTAAGTGGACGCATTCATTTTAAAAGCCCGTAACAAGAGAGGAGTACACCCGTTGACTTAGACTTTGATAATAGGGCATTAGTTCACATTTGGGGCATATATGAGTGTTCACCTCTTGATCCACTTGCATTTATGGAAGGAAATATGTGCCCCACTTGACATTTTTTCCTGACTTAAATTTCACTGGTAACCCTGAGATAACGAATTCCCATTCATATCACTTTTCATGGAGTTTTGATTCTTGGCTCTATTTCTAATTTACTCACCTTGTTTTTCTTCTTTCTTGGATTTGGAATTTGCATCAGGTTTGCCCACTCCCTGCACTCTCCCATTTCTCCTACTTTATAAGCTTCTTTTATCTTGTCTGTGCCTTTAGATCCCAACATCTTTTCCTGGCTTTAGCCACTTTCTCTTCCAGTACTGACAGTGCAGTGTAAGACACATAATGAACCAGTCTCATTCACCTTAAGAAATCAAGGAATCTGGCCAGGATAAAAGCTGGTGAGGCAAGATCAGGCTGGAATCTGAAGTGTAGATGAGATAAAAGAAGCAGGATGACTCCAGAGACCCTTCGATCAGTTAACAATTGCCCAAGTCAGGATGTTACTGGACAGTGGACAGTGTGGTACTAGGAAAGCTACACGGAGCTCCCTTGAGATCTGAGTTTTGAGCTCTTAAGGGAATCTCACCTACAGAGCTATCTGGGAGGCAGGTGGCTGTGAAGCAAAGCACCCTCTTTACAGCAGACCCTGGGACCTTGAGTCAAGTGTCCAGTGTCAGTCTTATTCCTGCAACCATATGGCAGGGACACCTTTGGAGGAGCAAGCTATCATCAAACATTCAAAAGCTCTTCTTTGCACCCAAATCTTTTGAAGTCATGAGAGGTCTCAACATTTTCTGCAATCATTGGGGGAGGGGTAGATTGGTTCACTTGCATGGGCCATTCCCAATAAAGACCTTATTCATATTCATTTTTTCAAAGCATGCCCTTCAAACAATATACGTTTCATTTTCCTCCAAAACCAAAATCTACCTCTGATGGTAAAACTTTTGGCTGTACCTATAATCTAGCATGCTCTTTGTAATGTCAAAGGACTTCTGCTGGACCATCTTTTTATCCCTCATCTAATGGCACTTGAATTCCTGTGCAGCTATATTTTAACATTTAGAATGAAATCATTCCTTTGTTTCTTTGCACATCTTTTGTCTATCATACGCATTAAAACTCTTGGGAGAACATAAAATAGCAAAGAAGGAGAAAGAGAAGGCAGAGTGGTGTGAACAATGCCAAGGAACACACTATTCGACTGGAAACTTTTGATTGGACTGTGCCATAGGTCTCTTCTGAGTTTGTGTGGTGATATGTGGGATTTTTACTGTCACTGGCTGGAGCATACAATGACATGCCTGGCCTTCTGTCACATACAGACTCCATGGAAAACTGATCATATGTCAATATGAAATTATAATAAATTTTATGTATTTCTTCCATGCAGTCAACTTATTTACATAAATATAAAACGATCTAGACAAACTTGCTGTAGCCATCATTAAAGTCAATGTACAGTAATGTTTCCCACATTGTGTTCACTCCTTTTATTGCTAACATTTATTTCTGCAAAATAATTTCAACCTTGATACTTATAATTTACCCTTTAGAATGCTCAGAGCTGTAATGATGTATCCTAAGAAAAATGGATATAATTTGGTTGACTCTTGGCCATCTATTTATCTGTTGAAAAGAAGCATTGTGGGCCTGGCATGGTAGCCTAATGGTCAGAGTCCTCGCCTTGAATGCACCAGGATCCCATAAAGGCACCGGTTCTAATCCTGGCAGCTCCACTTCCCATCCAGCTCCCTGCTTGTGGTCTGGGAAAGCAGCTGAGGACGGCCCAAAGCTTTGGAACCCTGCACCCATGTGGGAGACCTGGAAGAACTCCTGGTTCCCGGTTTAGGATCAGCGCAGCACTGGCTGTTGCAGTCACTTGAGAAGTGAATCATTGGATGTAAGATCTTCTTCTCTGTCTCTCCTCCTCTCTCTATATCTGATTTGCAATAAAAAAAAAAATAGAAAAGAGGCATTGTATGTATTTAGCCTCCCTGTTGCTATTACTTGGTATGTACAAGTTGGCAAGCTTTAAATCTAGGAAGAGTTCACTGTAAGTTAAAATAATAAAAAATCAAAATATTTAAAAATTTATTCATTTGCTAATCATCACTTTATGTAGTGTTTCAAGATTATCTTATTCCACAGTCTAAAATAAACCATAAAGAACAGATTTTCCTATTTATCCTAGTCTTCTCTGATAACTTTTGAGAGTGGAATGATTTGTCCGTGGAACAACTCTTGAACTGTATTTTGTGCAATACATGTGGGTGGGGTTTTTAGACTACAGTTATTTTCAATAGAGAATCCATCATTCCCAGCCTCAGTTGTCAGCACAGGTGCCCTGGTTCCAGTGGTCCACCCAGTTCTGGGAATGGAAATGCTGACACTGGACTAAAAACCGTTGTCTGATATCATCTGGCCAGGAAATTGGGAACTTCACATACTCTTAACAATTCCTAAATCCTTCTGAAATTAGGTTTGGCTTGGGTATATATAATAATAGAAACAACTGCATATGTTCTGATTACTTACACTTTATTTATATTTTAGATAAAAACTTTGAGAGAATTCTAACACAGAGTATGTCCCTCCCTTTTAGCCAGATAACTCTCAACAGAAACTCTATCGGAAGACAAATGAAAATGCATTATAGTAGAGTAACTTTAACAATGAGCTTTCAATTATACCAGAAAGAGCAACTCCAAGACACTGTTAGTTAAAATTATTTAATATTTTAATTTTAGTGTATTGATAGTCCTACACACATGGAGAATTCGTGAGTGAATTATCGATGTGTGAGTGAATTAATACCATCTCAATGTCACTAAATTATCATCATCATTATTATTATTTGAAAAGGCAGATGTACAGACAGAGGGAGAGACAGAGAGAAAGATCTTCCGCCCACTGGTTTACTCCCCAACAGACCACAACAACCAGAGCTGAGCCAATCCAAAGCCAGGAGCCAGGAGCCTCTTCTGGGTCTCCCACACCAGTGTAGGGTCCCAAAGCTTTGGGCTGTTCTTGGCTGCTTTCCCAGACCAGAAGCAGGGAGATGGATGGGAAGTGGAGCAGCTGGGCCATGAACCGGTGCCTATATGGGATCCTGGCTCATGCAAAGTGAGGACTTTAGCCACTAGGCTGTAACACTGAATCCAGTAACAGCTTTTATTGAGAAAAAGTTCACATGTTATATAATTCATTCATTTGATGTTCGTTCCTGGAGTTTTTTTTTTCCTTTGCATAGAGTTGTCAACAATATTACAATCCATTTTAAAACATGTTCACTATCCTTCGAATAAACCTAAAACCTCTCAGCACTTACTTGTCTCTTGATCTCCCAGCCCCCAATACTAAGCACCTGTTAATATACTTTCTGTGTTATCAGACGTGCCTATCAGGATGTTTCATATAGATGCAATGATAACATAGGACATATTTGGGGACTAGCTTCTTCACTTATCACAATGTTTTCAAGGTTCTTTGTGGTACATATATCAGCATCACTCATCTTTTAATTTAATCAATAAGTGGATATATTACATTTCATTTATCCATGCTCATCAGATCAATGAATATTTGTGGTGTTTACACTATTTTTGGAGACTGTAAATAATGCTCCTATGGACATTTTTTGTATAGCCGTTGTATGGATGTGTGTTTCATCTCTCTTTGACATGTATTTAGCTGTGGAATATTTGCCTCATACCATAACTGTAGGCAGAAACTTCGGAGGAACTGCAGACATATTGTGGAAGTAGCTGCAGCTTCATCAGCTCTTACCAGCTATGTATGAAGGATCTAATTCTTTTACATCTTTATCAACATTTTTTTTTCATTAGCCAGTGGATATGAAGTGATACTGTGCTTTTATTTCTCTGATTGCTAGTGGTGTCGAATGGAGAAATGTCTGTTTAAGTAATTTTCTATTTATGTATTATTTATTTCAGAGGGGACAGTGACCAGTAAAGAGTATTTGCTCATTCACTGGTTCAGTCCCTAAACGTCCACAATGGCCAAGGTAGAGCAAAGAATTGGAAATATTGGAGATGCAATCCAAATCCCCCGATTGAATGGCAGAAACACAATTACATCTCTGCTGCCTTTCAGGGGCTGCACTGTCAGAAACCGAAAACAGGAACAAGACCCAGAGATCCCAAGGTGGGATTCAGGCCTCCTAGCTGCTGTGCTAACCTCTCTGCTCAGTTTTACATTGGAGTAGTTTGTCTTTTTTTTGTGTGTGTGTGCATGAGTTCTTTTTATATTCTACAAATGAGTGTTTCACTTGATGCATAATGCAGATTTCTTTCATTCTGTGGTTCTTTTTTGATAATGTAATTTGAAGCACAAAATTTAAAAATTTTGATGAAGTTCAATTTATCTATTTCTTTGGTTGCTTCTACTTTTGATATTACGTCCAAGAAACCCATAACTTATTCAGGTTAAGAAAGAGTTAACATTTTATTTTCTCCTAAGTGTTATACAATTTTATCTCTGTTCTGCAGACATGAGATACATTTTGAGCTAGTTTTTATTTTGGTGTGAGACAGGGTCCAACTTAACTTTTGTTTGTATGTGGAAATAGAATTGTCCCAGCACCATTTATTGAAACACTTGACTTCTTGATGAAAATCAATTGATCATAATGTGTGACGCAATAATGTTTTAGAACTAGGAATGTATTGGATTTGTGAGCTGATCATTTTTAAGAGAGGATTACAAGATAAAGTCTCTAACCACAGTTAATTTCTGTTGTTATTTGTCTTGATACACGTTTGTAATTACTGTTTAAGTGCACATGTGGATGCTGTGCAGATTGGAAATGGTGAGTTAAAGGTGAAATGTGAGCTGTAAAACAAAGAAACTTACTTGGCAAGATGGTCTTATAGCGATTTTTAGTTCCATGTCGTGGGATATCAATTTCTTTTGGATCCACAAAGTTCATTGGTATTTCCTATAAAAATAGATGATATCAAATTAGTGTATCTAATACTGGCACAAAGCAAATCTTCACAGGGGGCCATCTCTTCTAAGCTCTGCTGTACTTCAAAGCCATTTGTAAAATAACAAACTATCACTTGTGATCAACCCACACCCTTCCTTTCATCAACATGTCAGCTGCACCTGACAAGCACACTTCTAAGAAACAGCGCTCCGTGTTGGAGCGCATGACTGTGTGGAGTCATGAAAGAGAAACAAAGAGTTCCCCTACATTCTTAAGGATATTATTTAGACATCATTACTGTAATTACGCATATAGACAGATGACTGAAAAGCGACTCATTTAGCAAAATATTTGAATTTCTTCTGATTTGTATGCAAGCTCAGTGCCCAAAATTTCAGGTGTATTCTCTTAAAACTGTATCTCTTTCAGAATAATTAAAACTTCTTGCCCAAAGTGGTAGAAATAAAGGGATTTTTGTGATTGAAGTTTTGAGAATTTGAGGGTTTTTTTTTTTTTGGACATCAAGGAGGCGTTTACAACTGGAATGTTCCATTTGTGATTATAAATGTGATGTTTCTCCCTCTTTCTCGTTTGAAGGTCACTTAGGCACTTTTTATCTCACTTCGGAAGAATAGAAATATTTTTACTTAGAATGTATTTCATAGGCTTCAAACGATTGCAGAGGGAACAAATAGCACAGTGATAATACAGTGTAAAAGTATTAGACTTAAAAAGAATTCAAGTTGATTGGAACCAAGAAAGCAAGAAACCAAAGTTTTCAAAAGGTTCCAAACAAATACTTCATAACTTGATACATCAAATATTTTTTTCTTTATCTAACTTAAGATTCTGCAATGGATTGTTTAGTAAAATTACTAGTAAATAAAATATGCTTACAGAATTAATTAACTGGTATATATTAAATCCTTAGCATAAAGTAATAGTCCAATTGCTTAGATTTTCTACAGTGGAAAATAAAACCCAGCAGTCCAGTATTCATTGAAATGAAATTACTTATAAATTAATCAACATTGTCCTAACTTTTGGTTTGTCTGGAAATTTGAGGAAACCCAGGCTTAATCATAAATGTGAAGCTTGGTTTATAGTGAGAAACAGCTTTTTTTTGGTGAGCATAATTTATTAAACTTACATTTTTAGATATGAATACTAAGAACCAGTATTTGTTATTTTAAAAAATAATGTAAAAGAGACACACATTAAATTAAGGGATACTACGTGATATATTATACACATATGTAGTATGTAATATCTGCTCAGTATCAAGATACTTATTTCTTTAAATATTTAGCATTTCTTCATGGTGAAAGAATTCAAAGTCCTTTCTAGTAGTGCTTTTTTAGGAAGAGAAGCATATATAAGATTTTAATATCTATAGCCATTCCATTGAACAATAGAACCAATAGAATTTCCATCTAAACATGGCTTAGCAGCTTTTTCAACTTTTCCCCAACCCTTCCTTCCCATCCTTCTTTTTCCAGCCTCTGAAAGTCATCAATATACATTTAACTCTGATGAGATCATTCATTACCTAACACACTTTAGATATCTGTATTTATCCCCACTCTTTGTATTGTTTTAGCTTTTTAGTTCTAAGTTACCAAATTAATGTAATTGTTGAATGCTCAATAGAAAACGTAATGTTCATGCTTGATCAATCAGTCTGGTTGGACCAAGTCATAAAGCAGGTAATATTTTTATTCCTCCTTCTCCTCTTCTTCTTTTCCACCTCCTGTTTTCTGACACACTCTGACAGCTGTCATCGTTGAATTTTATCTCTTTCCTGTGTATGCCTTGCTGACCCCATCTTTACTTTCAAGGAAGTAGGCCATGGAAAGAGTTTATTTCATAAACAAAGAACTATCTGTAGTTCTAGGAAAGAGTAATGGGTGTGCCCTGGGCTGGCTGGCTGTGTGATCTCCGATAGGTTTTTGCATCCCTTTATGTCTCAAATTATGGCTTTAGATCAAATTATGTCTTTAAATTAAACTAGCAAGTGTAAGTTAAAAAAAAACCTTCTAAGTTTGGGGCAGACATTTTCTGTAACAGTTAGGATAAAGAGGGTCCTGGGTTTGAGCCTTAGCTCCACTCTAAGTTATAGCCCCTTGTGGACTGGCATTCCAAGAAACATTAGGTGGCTGACGTATTTGAGGTCCTGCTACCCACATGGAAGACTCAGAATAAGTTTCTGGCTCTTGATTTCACCCTGGTCCTGCCCCAACTACTGTGGGCACATAAGGAGAGAACTGACAGATGGGAGATCTTTGTCTCTCAGTCCAATTAAAAAAATAAGCAAAACTCCATGTTTAGATTTTGTTTTGGGAAATTTAATAATTAGTGGGACCAATAGTAGAGCAATCCATTTCTAAGTCTTTCATCACTGTGGTGGTTGCAAACATCTGAATTAATCCTAGAATATCCAATTACTATACTTAAGCAATAAGATTTAAGATGCACAGCTGACTTAAAAGGCCAAGTGATCTATAAGCTCAGGATTCCATATGGGCAACAATTAAACTTATGAATTAATCGGACTATGCCACACATTATGAACAACATTGATAGGGCCAGAACCAAACTTACCCTCATGTACACTGCATCCCTCATCGTCCTTCTGAGTGCCTTCTTTCCTTAAAGGACACCAGGCGCACCCTGTGACTCTAGCCAAGAAACCAGATATCACCCCAGACTTTGCCGTTGTTTTTGGCTATGTTATGCAGTTACACCCATTCCCTATATAATTGTCTTGGTTTTTACTGCCATTACTTCAGGTGTAGACCATTGTCCCAGTTCTACAAGATTATCCTGAAGAACCTTCAGACCACTCCATTGCAAATAGAGTAATCTTTCCAAAACATGACATAAAGTTCAAACTACGGGACCACCACTGTGGTATAGTGAGTAAAGTTGCCATCTGCAGTGCCATCATCATTTATGGGTGTTGCTTTGAGCGTTGGCTGCTCCACTTCCATTATAGCTCCTTCTAATGCATCTGGGAAAGCAGCAGCAGATGGACCAATTGCTTGAGCCATTGATTCACATGGGAGAATCAGACAATTCTTGGCTCCTGGCTTTGGTTTGACTCAGACCAACCACTGTGGCCATTTAGAGAGTGAACCAGCAGATGGAAACTTCTGTCTGTCTCTCTCATAATCTCTCTAATTGTGTCTTTCAAGTAAATAGAACAAATCTTTTTAAAAAGTTCAACCTCCTAAATATCCTAAATATATATTAAGATCTAAATTTCTTTTATATTTCTAAGGCTCAGCTTTTAATGTCAATGCTTTAGTTAAATGGAGCAATTTAATTCTCTAAACATTGATGGCAAGGCTCTTCCTTCATCTGAGATGGCACCTTCTCTGGCCAAATCTTTATTGCCACCTCAGTGATGGCAACTTTTACATATTTTGCCTCACTTTGGTTATAATATTATCATCTGAATAGTTATGAACAGCTAACGAGACAGAAAATACAGTTACAATCTATGTTAAAAAATTATTTCTTTTTATTTCAATAAAGACCTCATCTGCTGGTCAAGTCTCCAAAGAACTGCAGTGGACAAGCTAAGTTGAAGCTGGGAAGCAGGAACACAACCTAGGTCTCCCATGCGAGTGCAGGACTCAGTTATTTAAGCTATCATCACCATCTCTTAGAATCACAGCCAGAGGCCCAGTGCAATAGCCTACTGGCTAAATCCTCGTCTTGCATCCACTGGGATGGCATATGGGCACTGGCTCATATTCTGATTGCTCCACTTTGCATCCAGCTCCCTGCTTTTGGCCTGGGAAAGCAGTCAAGGACAGCCCAAAGCCTTGGGACCCTGCACCCAATGTGGGAGACCTGGAAGAGGCTCCTGACTCTTGGCTTCAGATTGGCTCAGATCTGGCTATTGTGGCCACTTAGGGTGTGAACCAATGGATGGAAGATCTTTCTCTCTGTCTCTCCTTATCGTTGTATATCTGCCTTTACTACTACTACTAATAAAATTAATCTTAAAAAATGAATCATAGCCAGAAACCTAACATTTTTAATATGGAATGTGGGCATCTTAATTGTAGGGTAACTGTCTCTGGGCTATGCATTTTGAACAGTAACCAGTAAAGCTGCTTGACCATAAGTGAGTGACATTTCCATATGTGCTCTAGTGCACAGCATATTGAAATACTGAAGAGTAAGTAATAAATAGCTGACTTACCATGAATTCACTTTGTAGTAAGTGTGAACTTGCCACGATCTCCCTCAGTTGTGACCTTGTGAGAACTCGGCTGGCTGACTGCAGGTACTCCAGGGCTACTTTCTCCCGTGGGCTTGGGATAGCCACAAAGGGCTCAACATTCCCCAAGGCACTCATATCCAATGTCAGAGACACGTTGGACCCTCGTCTATGTTGGAAAAGAATGTGATTAAATTGAAACATTACATAAACTATGTAGATCATACAAATCTTTCCATCTATACTTGAGTACATTTCAATGAAAATTTTTACAGAAAAAAGGGACAAAGAGATTTTCTCTTTCAGTACCAGGATTGACTATGGCAACCACCCGTAGTTCCTTTATAGGCAACTGAGAATTTTGTTACTGAAAATGACACTGAAATAATAATATGCACTATGATTTATTAATGGCTACATTTGTTACAGAGATGATATGATGACTGAAAAGATTAAGAGAAAATTTCAGAAAAAAGTACATATTTGAATTGAGAAATCAGATATACCTCAAACCAATTTATATTTGTGTGTGTTTGAAAATCCAGCATAAAAACCATATGTTCATGTAATTACCATCATCATCATCATTTGGCTGTTAAGCCAAAGAAACAGAGAAAAATGCTCCCATCAATGGGATCACTGCTTAAATGCCTATACCAATTGGGTCTGAGACAGGCAGAAGCCAAAATCCAGGGACTCCATTCAGGTTTACCAGATGGGCCGCAGGAACCCAAGTACTTGGTTTAGCATCTGTTGCCTCTGAGGTTCATTAGTAGGAAACTGGCTTGGAGGCAGAGGTGAACCTCAGTCCACCATGGCTTTTGGGTATTCCAAGCGGAAGCTTAAACTACTTCACAATGCCTGCTCCCAGGTGTTTATTTGAAATAATGGAAAATTATTATATTTGCAACCAAAAAAAAAACATTTAAAATCTTTCATTTCTTTACTCCTATGATTCTGCCTCTATTTGCAGCTTTGGTGTGTCTATAATTTGATATGCAAGATTGTCATTTTAAACTTTGAAATGCTCTGCCTTATAATATTAATTCTTGCTTTAACTTGATGGCTATTTAATTCTTTGAATATTTATTTGTCTTATAAATCTCTACTTCTAGTATAGTACATGGAAATAGAGAATGGCTGAGCTTCTGATGGTTGGAATTTCTTAACTGTTTCTATGAAATGCACCTTATCATCATTTTTCCTAAATATTTCTTGTAGTAGATTGGTTATATATACCTGTAGGTATATATACATGTACATAAAAACATAATCTTACTTATTATTCCAGTGTATTTTATTAAAGATATCACTGTTATTCTTGACTTTTGTTCCCCAGTGGATTTGGAAACCTGAGTTAATCAGGTGAGACCTTCACAGTAAACATGTGGGCAATTTTTTTTTCATCTTGAAGTTTTTCATTTGTATGTTTAGTATTGTGCTATTTGAAGACATTCACAATTATTTATTTTCTTTGTACATTTTGTCACTATTTCTTTTCTACTAATTTCATATTTGACCTCACATCTGACTTTAAAAAAGTAATACTAATGGGCCTGCCATGATGGCTCAATGACTAAATCCTCACCTTGCACATGCTGAGATCCCATATAGGTGCTGGTTTGTGTCCTGGCTGTTTAACTTCCAATCCAGCTTCCTGCTTCTGGTCTGGGAAAGCAGTGGGACCCTGCACCCACATGGGAAAACCTGAAGAAGCTCCTTGCTCCAGCTATTGTGGCCTTTGGGGGAGTGAACTAGTGGATGGAAGATCTTTCTGTCTCTCCTTCTCTCTGTAATTTGCCTTTCCAATAAAAAATAAATCTTAAAAAAGCCAAACCAAACCAAAAACTAACACTGACAAGCCTATTCCATTTTGACATGTTCTTAAAATAATTTTTTGAGATTATGGTTTATAACTCTTTGGATCACTGGATGAGAGATTGGACGATAAAATTCTGGCCTACTTGATAATATCACCTACTTGATAGAAATTTTTTCCTCTCAGTTTGTCTTTTGTTCTTGTTTGTGTATGTTACAGGGTGGGGGTTAGGAGGGCGATGGTGATGGCTCACAGGCTCTTGTGTTCAAGGAGAAGCAAAGAATGGGTCTACTTTCAGATCAAGAATTTAAATCATTTTTGGTATGAAAACTGCTTTCTCAATCCAGTTCTCCTGGACTTGAACCCTTTCCTGATTCTGAACATGGCTTATTTATTGCTCCTAGCTTTGCCTATACTTGTGAGAATTTGTCTTGGGCTGGTTTCAGTGATTTCTGAGTAATGAGATGGTAGCACCTACTTATATGGTTGCTGGTTGGATGCTATTTCAAGCCACGATTCCTGACCATCAACTCCCAGGCCTTGGAGGAAGAAATGTCTTCTGTCTGCTGATACAACAACATCTGATGCTAGAAAGGCTTAGTGGAGCATGGGACTGCTTCCATCCTGAGTGCTGATGAAAGCTGTATAAGGGAGGAAACACTGACGTAGGCATTGAATGGAGAAAAAGCTTAACAGATACGTGTTTGGAGGCAGTGTTGTTTCAGAGAAAGAAGCTGGCAGAAGTGTGGCAACACAATAACCCAAGATAATTTTTAAGAAATGGTACAGAAGCAGTACAAGCCAGAGTTCAGTTGTGTCAAAGCATATTTTGGAATTGGAGGGCAAAGCATGTAGAAGAGAAACAACAAGATTATAAAAAGCCTTGCACATACAGAAAAGAGAGGAATCAAAATATTAGAGTATATCAACTTCTGTTTTGGTTTCCCCTGACATATCAAACCTGGGACATTGAAAAACTCCACAATCCCATGTCTAAGATTAGCTTGATTTAGTGAGTAAATTTCCTCAGGATTCTGTGGTAAACTGAGAGCCATGGAAGAAGCATTTTCATGTAAACTAACTTAGCAAGGAAGAATGACTTCTCCCTGGCAAAGGAAGGAAGAAAGGAAACTAATATTTGTTAAATATCTGTTATGTGCCAAGTAGTGTTCTAAGCACTTTCACATATGGAACCTCAAGATCCCTAACAGCATTCTGAGCTACGACCTTTCACCCTTTTACAGTGGAAGGAATAATTAATTCGGGAATACAATGGTGGGATACCAGTTCAACCCAAGTTAGGGAGTACGACCCAAGTTCTGCTTTGTCAGCTGAAGGCGGAAGTAGAGTGGGCAGCATATGTTTGTGTGCAGGTGCACCATGTGGAGTTGGGAGTCAGTGATGAGAAATGAAGTCAATCCACTGGGTGCATCTGGGAGCAGAGCAGGTGTTGGGGCGGTCAGATTTGCCTGGTATAAGCCCTCCTCTCCACATCCTTATAGCACTCCGCTAGTCAGACTGTCAATCCTCAGTGAATCTCAAATTTCTCCTGTTTTGTAAATTTAATAAAGAAACGAACCTACCTTAGAGTGTTATTACCAGAGTTAGCCAGAAAACAAAAGTCAACTCCTGATAAAAGTAATATCCTAGCACCAAGTTTGGGTAATAACGAACAAGTTCTATCTAACTCTCACTATTTCCTTCACTGAGGGACAGGCCCTAATTTGGGATTTCAATACAGCAAAATAAAAAATTGTTTATGCTGAAGCATTTTTTTCAGGAGGGTGCAGTGTTTTGCAATCAATAAAATCAACACATTTGTCAGTGAGGAAGAACACATCCAAAAAATCTTTTAATCCTAAACTTCCATTTATTGTGGTAGATCCATTTTTCCTGAATTTTAAACATTTTCAGATCATTTCATCTCAACACTCATACAATGTCTCAGAGTTTGGTCATGGAATTCAACTTTTGCAGTCTGTCAACCTTACAGAGAACATTTTCCACAAAATAACCCTCATCATGGTGAGTACTCTTCTGTCCTGACTACAAAGTACTATGTCATTAACTTGAAAGACTTGAAAGATTCCTGATTTATGCTACATTTTATTTTCAAAGAGCAAATAATATTCACATTAGTTAAGATAAGTGAAATTTAGAAGTCTAGTAAGTAGAATCAATTTAAAAATATTAAAATGTTTGGATAGTAGTTAGTTATGTATTCTATTTGGAAAGAAGAGATTAAATGTACACTCATTTATTGTAGTTTTTTTCATGATTAAAGTACCACATATTTATTGTAAAAAAATCTTGTAAAATGTGAAAGTTTTGAGAAAGCAGTTAAGACACATTAACATTAAAAATTAACCTTTAAATTTCACTACTTTCTAGCAAAGGCAGTGGCTTTTTGTTCTAATTTCTTTGGTTACAGACAAGGAGGAATACATTTTCAGATGACTATTGTTTAATTTCTTACCTTTAAGAATCATATGTACATTTTTTAACGGATTTTAGTAGTATGGGATTAATAAATTAATTATTGTCTACTGTGGTGTCCATGTATGATACAGTTATTTCTCAGCTATGTCTGTTACAAGTTCTGTGTAGACTCAGTCAATTGTACTGGTCTCTGCAGCCCTCTAATGCTGCTTTCATAACGGAGATTCTTGTTATGGAAGTTTGGATATTTTAAAAGTCAGTCACATTTATTTGTAATTCAGTTTGAGGGATAGTGACAAAAGACTCATCTAGATTTCCTTCCCTCATATGGGGTTTCAGGATTTCTAACACAGTTTATAGAACAATCTAGAGAAGGAATATGTTTTATAAATCTGGAAATACTAAAGTTTTTGCTAACTGCCCAATCATCCGGAGGAGAAAAACTGTCATTTTACTTAACAAATGTGAATGTGTTTGATTGAATCCAGCAACAAAATGATAAGAAACCAGGATAGAATCAGAAAGATACTGCAGAAAGAAAACAAACTGAAAAAGTACAAAGAGGTTCAAATGAAGATCAGGAAAGAAGCTGAAAGGACCTCTGGTCAACAGGAGTAAGGTGAAGCACAGACCTTTCATTTTTAAAAAATGAGATAAAGTCAGAACACACAATCTGCAGGGAAGCTTTGCTTTTACTTCGTTGTGTAACTCCGGCAAACCATTTGGGTTTTATTTTTTTTTTATGCCTTATGATTACTTTTGGACAAAAGGGAACATAATAAAAAGCTTTATCAAGCTCCTGCTGTAGCTCCAATTATTATTTATGCCAAAAAAGAAATAGAAGGGAGGAAGTTCAAAAGATACCAATGCAAACAATTGAAGGAAAAGGCAAATTCTTAAGGAAAGGTAAA